TGTCGATCACAGGCAGTTGCAATAACTTGTCAGCCGGTCGAGATGGTCATAAATGATGCAGCCCCTACACAAGAGCCTGGCTGGTTTCCCAACAGCAGCTTCCCGTTCGTCTTCAGCAGCCACCAGGATTTGTTCTTCTGATCACGAATGCTGTTTGAGCACACACCACACACATAGGCTCTCATCCAAGGATGACAGGATGGCTCCCTCGGCAAAACAGCACTCCTCTACAACACAGTATATATCAATAAAACACCTTGGCAACAATACGTGATTAATACTTACATAATTTCTGGCACATTATCAAAGCTGTTTAATTATAACCCAAGGAAAATAAACCCATTATATATATATTATATATATTTATTTATTTAGGGTAGCGGAACAGAAAATGTCTTCCTCTTCACGAAGCAGCTACCAAGTCCAGAAGCTAAGGGACTGCAAGAGTTGCTGACCTCTCATGTTGAGGTGGTACATCACTAGAGAAACTGCAAGGATCAGACAAAACATAGAGGCTCAAGGACTGGAAAATAGGTAGGACTCAGTTCTCCGTAGCACCTGCCTCTCAGCTACAATGAAAACACTCTTTAGAGAGCAGCAGACTGCACGGAGCTCACATTACCTTTGCTCTCTTCCTTGGTTCATGATGTTACAGGTTTAAAACCCTTTTTTGAGAGATGCTGGTGAAAAATGCTAGGTAACACTTTCTTATATCAGAGAGAGGCAAAAGGGACTTGAAGCAGTAATGTCAATTTTATAGTCACTATTTCAGAAACAATTTTAGATTAGCTTCAGACAAAGCACCTCTCAAATTCTCTGGCAGGTGTTTTATTCATTTGCAGCTGCATCTTTGCATCTTTCAATTTGTTCTTTTTTTTTTTTTCCTTTTCCTTCCTCGCTACAAAGAGGATCCAAAGAAGCAAGAGGCCAAGCTGCCTGTGCTCAAACTCGCTGTACGTTACGAACACGAAGGAGGACATGATATGGATGAAACAACTGCAAGCACAGCTGCAGCTGCACTCACCTGAACCCTGGCCCATTTTCCAATGTATACCATACATAAATAGATGTGGTATAAACACAGAGAACAGAAAAAGAATTCAGAATGAAGATTGCCTCCTGATCAGGAATGCTTTTTTGACGAACCTTTCAGACAAATGTGTAATGCTTAGTTTTCTATAGTGGCTAATATCAGTGATATCAGGCTGTGAGCGTGAGGCCCTGCCATGGTCTGACATGGAACAGTTTGGGGCGAACAGGCTGTTACTCATGTATTGTTCAAAGACAATCAGAAAACTCACCAGCTGCAGCACATGTTTTGGTAGCCTCTGAAGACCTTCATTGCCAAAGGAAATAGACGTGCAGTTCGAAAGCTCAAGTTCTGTTTTGGGAATTAGTTACTCAGGGTTTGTTCTTCTCTCATTCTAATGCAAGAGATCTCATTCTGCCCAGGTGATGTTTTACCTCTTCCCGTGTTATCTCCTCTCTTTTCCGAGGTTACACAGAGCAGCTGAAAAGGGAATAACAAATTGTAATTGGAGCTGGAAAGGGGGGTGCCCTGGGGGTCTAAATTTTGATGGTTGCTCTGGATGGATGTTTTTATTCTTGCAGACTTTGGGAGCAGTGTATTCTTTGCTGACTGCAAAATCAGACACTGGGGCTACAGGAGAGACTGCAGCTCGTCGGCAGGGCTGAGCTATGTTGTGCAGAGGGGCAGGGCTGCGTCATGACCGGGGGGCACCTGCCCATTGCTTGCTTTGGGATGAGGGCGAGAAGCTCTGCCTCAGTCTCACTCTGTTTTCCCCATCTTCTACATGAGCACTCTGTGAAAGCGATTTCATTTGTTCATGAGGAGTTTGGCTGGCAGGAGTGAGTGAAGTCAGAGCAGTGGCAGTTGGTGAAATAGCCTCTTTTCTGGCAAAAGGCTCATGAGGGGAAGGCAGCTTCTGCAAGGTCCTGCTCTGTGCCTGGCTGTAGAGTTTAGCCTTGGATCCAAATCCAAACGCTTCCCTCCTTTGGAGTTCAGCACAGGTCCTGTGTGCGTGAGCTCTGGATGCATCCAGATGCCAGAGGCACTCAGCTTCTCCAGGACATGGTGAAGCTAAAAGTCATGGGCAGGGTTTTGTCACATCTGCAGGGGAAAGGAGCTGAAATCATTACCTTGTCCTGTTAAATGCCTTCTGAAAACATGAGGATAACTAAACGTGGAAATATCCTGAACCTAGCAGCAGTCACTTGCACACGAAATGGTCACATGGTCCTCCATCAGAGGGCATCAAGCATGACCACCAGGAAGGTAGTTGTCCTACAACATCCTTGGCATCAGCAGGTAGAAACAGAATAAGCACCTCACTGCTGTTCTGTGAGCAGATGGAGAGATTCCTCTGAAGTCAGGAAGGAATCCAGAGGAAAGAATGAGAAGTCACAAAAACAGGTGAAACCTTTGATCTAGGATACCTCTCTCTGAGCTGCAAGCTCAGCGGGCTGCATGAGGCCGCAGGAAGGAGGTTGTTGTCAACTCTGATTTTTAGGGCTTGCTGGCTCTCAGACCAGTCCAATTTGGGCAATCCCAAACTCTTCCCACTCCTGCATGTCCCCGGGCTGCTCCCCAGCCACACAAGGCCTGGGAAGACATGTGGCTTCACTGACTGTGCCTTAAAGCGTTTTGTGGACTCACAGTCACTCTTGTGGGCTGAGATCTGCCTCGTGCATTGAGACCTGCTCAACTCGCTTCATGGACCTTCGCAGGTTTCACGGAGTCCCACCTCGTGTTCCCCCATCCCTGGGTCAGCATCTGTCCTCTTGCCACGTTTCCCAATGCTCACATCTGCCATAGCTGTGCTGATTTGGCCCCGTGTCCTCATCCTGGTGTCTCAGAGCAAGAGCAAGAGCCATTCAGGCAGGAAGGGTCATGTTAATGCTCACTGCAAAGACACAAGAGAGCAGTGAGGAGCCACGACCCCTCTCCGCCCTGCATGGCCCTTATGCCACAAACCTGCAGGGCCGCCTCCTCTGCCATGGGGATGGGAACCAGGCTCAGAGCGGAGCGTGAAGCGGAGCCAGGCTGCGGCTCCGTCTTTCGTGTTCATCCTTGTTAAAATTCCAGGCACACACTCCGCCTTGTTTGTAAGCCAAAATACAAGCTGAGACCTCCCCGCTTGGTGTGATTGAACGCTTGCAGTACTGTGTTATTATAGCCGATTTGTTTGATCAGGCACATGAAAGCTGCTGGTCATCTGCTGCTACACCCGATGGGGAAGGTTTGGGGCCATCTGCAGAAGGAACTTTATGGATCTCCATGCCACATTAGCTCACAGCACACTAATTAGCGTGTGCTCCGTTTTATTCCCTTCGGTGCACAGCCTGCTTTGCTTCCCCAGGGAGATGCCCTCACCAAGAAAAATGTAAAATAATGTAGTTTTCATCATGACTTTCCTGAGGATGTTTATGAACTATCACCATCCCACATCTTCTTCACCTCAGATGGAGTACAAGGACTACGTTGAAGCAACCTCTCTGCTGTTTCGCTCTTTCCTACGGTCTTCTTCCTTCCCTCTGGAAGCTCCCATCCTATCCCAGAGAGGCTTTTCCACCTAAAGTCATCTCCTGGTGCCCTTATCCGACCGTTCAGGCGGGATCAGCGCCAGCTCCGGGGAGTCCCTGCGCTGCTCCGGCCTTGAGGGAGCTCAGAAACACAAAACTCCCTTCGCCCTCAACGGGACCACCCCAGCCCCTTGGTGCTCTGGATTTTGCCTTATATTAATATTATTGTGGAGATTTCAGGCCACCCCTGGCAGGCTGCAACTATTAGAACGATGAAGAGAAGCCGCCCGCAGCTGCCGACTGCGCCGCGGCCTCTCGGTCTCCGGATCCCTGGATCGCGGCACCGAGTGTCTCGGCTCTTAAACGAGGAATTCATGAACACCCTCCTTTCCTCTCGCCTTTTCCCTTTAAGTTTGGTTTCCATGGGAACGGGCCTGGAGAGGGGAATCCGGCTGCTCCTCCCGTTCGCCAGCGGAGCCTCCGGAGCGCCAGGCTGTTAGGGACCATTTTTCCTATTGTGGCTTGTGCCTCCAGCAGGAGCCACGGTTTCCCACGGAGCAGCTTCTCCAGCGAGGCACGACACCGTGCACTCCTAATTGTAAAAAATAAAGAAAAAAAAAAAGGAAAAAAATGAATTAATCCTAGTTGGAATACTTCATTGTTCACCGCTTTTGTTTGGGGCATGCAAAAAGCTTTGCCCTCTTCCCTTGTCTGGGTGCTTGCCTATGAATGTCCCTCATTCCCGGGCACCACGCTTGGAGCAGGATGTAAAGCAGAGCCGCAGAGAGCTCGGAGACCCATGGAAACTGCCTGAGGTTGGGGAAAATATGGTCTAGGAGGGAAAATGGAACGAATTAGGTTTCTCTAGTGCAGTGGGGAGACACTAAAGGGAGACACAGCAGTAGCGGGTAGCGGCAGAAAGGGACGCAGTGAAGTGCTTCCCACAGCCAACGTGAGCTGAAGGAGAAATTCCGAGTTCCAGCTGCGACTTGGGAAAAGTCGCCTGGAGATGTGGAAAGCTTCCCTGCTGACAGGGCCAGAAACCAAAAATAGAGTTGAAAGGGGTAATACTGCGGGTCCCCAATGTGATACTCCTGTCTCAAAGCAGAGGCTTGCTCAAATCTGTCCTGATTTAAGGCATTTTTGTGGTGTAAGAGACTCCGGCCATTTGCCACTTTGCTGCTCCCTGAAGCAAGTTCCCCATTGCAGATATTTAAATATCATCTTTTACACACTGTGGGGGGGGGGGATAGGGAAAAATCCCTCTCCACCTGCCCCTTCTGTCCCTGAGCCCGGGCTGGAGCCATCCCGCCGGCCCTGGGTCTCGAACCCGCGGAGCCACCAAGCGCCGCGCCGGGCGGAGGAAGTTGGTCCGCGGCGGCCACCGTCGCTCCGCGGTGCGTGCCCTATGTGCGTCCGGGCGGCGGCGGCGGCAGCGGGACGGCGCCCGGCGCCTCCTTTTCCCGCTTCCTTCCCCTCCGTGCTCGCCGGGGGCGGCTCCCGGCCCTCCCGCCGCCGCCATGAGCGAGAAGGGCGAGCTGGACCTGAGCGGGGCCAAGCAGAACACGGGCATGTGGCTCGTGAAGGTGAGAGGCCGCCCTGGGCGCCGGGAAGGCGCCGCTGGAGCCCCGGGCCGTTTGCAGGGGGTGCCGCGGGGGCCGGGATGTGCTGGGAATGCCGGCAGGGCAGTGGGAGCCAGGAAAGGGCGTTGGTAAGAAATGAAGCCGTTTCCCCTGTGCAGGAAGCACGAGGCCCCAACCGGCAGAACCGGAGCGGCCTGCGGGGAAAATACCCGTTTTTGCCGTGTTTTCCTGCTTGTCCCTACGCGTTTGCTGCTGGCCACCTCGCGGGTGGGGTGCTGAGCACCCACAGCCGTTAGCTTCATGTGGGTTTGCCGTTTTGGGATGGCCCAAGGCAAGCCAGGAGTTTTTAAGCAAGCCAGGAGTTTCCAGGTGTGTCTGAAATGGCTGATGCTGCTCTGCGAGCGAGGCGTAAGTTCTACTCAAACAAACAAACCACCACCAACGAAATCCTCGTTTCTTTGGAGCATGTGCTGTACTGCTGAGAGACTGCTTGACGGGCAGTAAAGAAGGGATTTCTTCTTGTGTGATTAAATGATGTCCATTTCCAGAAGAAAGGCCTCTTGTCTAGAAGATGTTGAGTAGCCTTCAGCCGTGGCTTTCGTTATGTGCTTTCCGCAAGCCAGGCTTCCAGTGGGTGCACAGCTTTCAGAGCCCTCAGAGTCCTTGCAGACTCATTTCTTTCTCTAAAAGCAGGCTTTTGGGGCATTTTTCCTGGAGCTTTTCTGGACTCCCCAGTACGAGAGGGATGTGGAGCTGCTGGAGAGAGTCCAGTGCAGGGCTACCAGGATGATCAGAGGCCTGGAACATCTGCCCTGTGAGCAAAGGCTGAGAGAGCTGGGCCTGTTCAGCCTGGAGAAGAGGAGGCTGAGGGGGGACCTGATCAGCGTGTATAAATACCTCAAGGGAGGCAGTGAGGAGGAGGGGGGCGGCCTCTTTTCAGTGGTGGACAGCGCTAGGACTAGAGGAAACGGCCACAAGCTGAGGCGCCAAAAGTTCTACAGGAACTTAAGGAAAAAATTCTTAACAGTGAGGGTGCCAGAGCCCTGGAACAGGCTGTCCAAGCAGATTGTGGAGTCTCCTTCTTTGGAGATCTTTAAAACCCGCTTGGATGCTGCCATGTGCTCTAGGTGACCCTGCGTGTGCAGGGGGGTTGAACCAGATGACCTCTGAGCTCCCTTCCAACCTTAAGGATTCTATGATCCCCCTCCTTTTCTGTACGTGTGACTTCCGTAACTTCTCCATAAATTACATTTTTACTGTACTAAACTGAAAGTGGGCAGTCAGGATGCCTGCAGTGTGCAAGATGCCGCTTATCTCTCCTAGGATGCCTTAAGCCGTGAGCATGGAGGGTTCTAGCCTGTGGTTTGGGGATTTTTAGCTTAAGCAGTGGGGGGTGCGTGTGTGTGCGTGTGTGTGTGTGTGTGTGTGTGTGTGTACTGGGTGTGTGTGTTGTTCCCTGGCACTAAAGGTTACGTCCAGGTTGGGTGTGAGCATGTGGTGATGTCTCTATTCCAAGAGGCAGAGAACACGACACTCACCTGTTCTGGTTTTATGCAAACTTTAGGAAGAAAACAGCATCCAGTCTGCTTGTAATGCGTAGAAAGTTGCCATTTCAAACCTGTTGTGGGGGGGAACCCCTCAATCAGTAAATTATGCCAATTAATTGCTTTTCGTCATTCCTTTGAGACATTATTGACCCCAAGTTAAGAGTTTATGGAAGCATGGACTCCCTTTGCTGAGCAATGGGAGGACATGTGGATTTTCTAGCTATTCCATCTTACTTTGTAAGGATAGCATCTTACTTTGTAAGGAGAGTGCTAAGCACCAGTATAAAAATGTCCTCTGTTTTTCATGAAGAAAAACAGAAAAAGGTGAAGTTGTTATGAGGTTCATTTGAGCCATAACAACTGACTAGGTTACGCTTTGTCAGCACCTCTTCTGTGATAGATTCTTAGCCTCCCCGTTGGTGAGTTAAAACTTATGTTTTAATCTAGACCAAAATGTGATCACAAAGTTCCCCTTTGGTGCTTGAAACAGAAGAATCTGCAGCTGCCTGGATATCATGCATTTTTCCTGGCTGTGTCTCACAAACTGCATTGCCTGGAGGTTTTCTAGGTGGGAATTGGTGTTTCCAGCAGCTCTGGACTGTGTGGGCAGGAACAAACTTTCCTGTGCCAGGAGAACTGTTGCTCCCAGTAAAAAAAAAAAAAAAAATCATTTTTCCTGATGTTTCATGAGTGGATATAGAAAAAGAGATAAAAAATTCTGAGCACTGTTTTAGGAAAATGTTTTTTCAGTCCACTGTTGTTCTAGACACGGGGACCGCTCTGCTTCTCTGAGATAATGTTCTCGTAGTGACAGCTGCTTTCTCCTTAGAAAGGAAGAGTTTACCGGAAAAAGTCAACTTCTGTTAGCTGCTTTCAGCCGTTTTCTTTAGGAAGTGATTCTCTGATTTCCATCTCCCTGGAAAACCACCTGGTTTGGTTCTCCATAGCCAGGTTTGAGGCTTCTTGGTGTCACGGCACTTGTGTATCTGTGGCGCCGGTGGAGGGGGAGGCTGCTCCTGTCTCACTCTTGTATGAATGTGTCACGCTCAGCCTCTATTAAAAACCACTATGATAAAATCATTGGTACTTTTCAGTTCAGAAGTACAACATTGATCCTCTTGGCTCAGCTAATTGTATTGGAGATTCAACATCCATAGGATTTTTCCTTCGTTTGGGACTAACATACAGTACCTGCTTCTTGTTATGCTATGATTTTCTCCTTTCGCTCCTTAATAGAATATATTGTCTAGAATAGAATATATTTAGGGTGTGCGGCAGCCTGAAGTGAAGCAGTCAGTGTAAAAGCATTTAAAATAATGCTTTTGTACACACTTGATATAGAGTTTTAAAATCTGCTTTTCTTGAAATCTGTTGTCTTTTTTTTTCTTTTAGGTTCCCAAATATTTGTCACAGCAGTGGAATAAAGCTTCAGGAAGAGGGGAAGTGGGGAAACTAAGGATTGCCAAGTAAGCCTTTTTTGTACCTTTGCTGGTTGCAATTTTTAGGATGTTGGTATAGAGGAAGTTACCTGCAGCAAAGTAGATTGTGTTGCATCTCTCAAATTGCATAACCCTGTTTCTTGCAAACTTGTGCATATCTCTGTGCAAACCGAAAGACACCTGCTGTCTAGTGATTATCAATATATACATAATAAACAGATCCATATGTGAAAGTGTACTGGGGGGCAGCTTGTGGTGCTTGATTTCATAGACCTAAGAAATAGGCACATCTAACTGGAGAATTTTCTTTCACTTAGTAAATGTGCTGCTTTGTTGCTTCTAGTCTCCTCTGCTGACTTTCCCCATTTATCCATGGGCATCAGCATCAAGAGAGATCGAGCAGCTGAGGAGCTAAAATGAGTAGCAGTGCTAGAATTGGATTTGCTTTGTTGTCGGGGAACTAAACTTGTGGAAATAGACTGTGAAAACTAAAACAATCCTTATTTTCTTTTGCAGAAATCAAGGAAGAACAGAAGTAAGTAATTGCTAAATACAACGATGGTGAATATATTGTATTTTTGAATTCTGAAGTTGTTTAGAACATGCTGTTTTCTGATACCCTTTTCTTTTGTTTTCTTTTGTTTTGTTTGGTTACACCTGTTAAGAAGCAGTACCAGGGAGCCAGGAAGTCAGGATTCTGTTTGCAGATCTGCCCCTGGGCTTACTGCAGGACTTCGATTAAGCCCCTTTGTCTCCCTGTGTTCGTTCACCCCTCTGTAGGCAGCAGTCATAGTCACAACCTCCCCTCTAAGTATTTTGAGGGATTTTTAGTACAAAAGGCTGTATTAAAAAACAATGATGATAAAACAAGCTGGAAATGAAAGAGTGCAGTTTCAGCGAATATTTCATATGATATTTGGAATTTGTTTTTGCCATTAAATATTATAGGCAGTAAGGGAAGTTGCCTTAGTTAGAGTTGCTTAAATCACCAAGTAGGTCTTTTATGTTGAACTGGAAAGAAACTCTGGAGGGGAAAAAAGTATGTGGGGAAGCAAGTTGCATTGGCCATTTGAACCCAGCCAAACTCCTTTGAGAATAAATGGAGAAACTTCCAATGAAGTTTGAAAGCTTGCTTGGACATTCTGAACCTGGAATTTGGGCCAGTCTTCCTAATTTTGTGACCCCACACCAATATCGTGCTGTGGATGGGAGCTGAAATGCACGTTGTGCAGACTTTGTAGAGCCAAGTGGTGAGGAACCCAGGGCAAGCAGATGGCTTCCTAGGGCTGCTGCTCTTGAGGGATGGGATGAGCCTAGACAGGATGTACAGGAAAAACACTGCACTTGGTGCTGTGCTCCCCGTTCAGGCTTCTTGCTTTGCCCTGTGGCCGAGGATGTTGGTTATTCAGCATCCCTGGTGCTTCCTCAACTCTTCAGTTGAGCATCTGGTGTGAGCTTGGCAAAGGACTGGATCCGAACTGCTGCTGGACCACGCACCATTTGGGAGTCCCAGGCTGGCCGCGCTTGCTGGGACATGGTGCCACCCTCTTGGGAACCAAATTGGCTGTGTGTAACACCCTAAAGCACTTGTACTGAATGCTGGCTGAGAAGCCTTTATGAATTGCTTCCTTTTGTTTTCCATAAATAAAACAAAATTGTTCCTTTTGACTTTAGAAGGAAGTAATGTAAAATGTTTCCTACTGCATTTCAATAAGAGATCCATGTGTTAAGATTCTTTTCCCACCCTTTATATTTTAAAATAGCAATGTGGAGTACTGCTTGTTTTTTTTTCTCTCTCTGTTTCCCCCTAATTCTTAAAAGCTGTATAATTTAGTGTGTTTGGTAACACTGTGGTAATTGTGACTGTTAGGTGTCATTTACTTTGAATGAGGAGCTTGCAAGCATCAATGACATTGGAGGAAAACCTGCCTCAGTCAGTGCGCCCAGGGAACATCCATTTCTTTTGCAAAGTGTGGGAGGACAGACCTTAACAGTGTTCACAGAAAGCTCAGTAGGTAAGTAGGAATTAAAGTTATTTATTACAATTCCAATGTAAATGATTTCAATGAGCTGGATGCTGTAAAGGCTGGAAGACTGTCAGAAGATTTCATCTTTGTTGTGTGGTTTCCCGTGTAAATGTTACTGTTTTTTTTATTGTGGCTGCTGCCTTCTCCATCTGATTGAGCAACTAATTTTAGTTTTCTAGAGAGGGTTGTCTTGTAATTTCCAATGTGGGTCTGTTGAAGAGAATGTGGAAAGGGTATGGGAGTGCAGTACATTGTGCATTTCCCTTTCAGGGGTATTCTTTTGAGTTTCTGTATGCTTTTCAGATTAAATGATACTTTTTTTTTTTAATTGAACTCGTCTTTTCTGTGAATTCAGTTACATAAGAATGACAATTCTCCTTTTATCCAGTTGAAAAGATCCATTTTAGTGGTAAACACCCATCTGTTCACCAAATTTTGCTGCTGCAAAAGTGAAACTGCAATTTAAGCTTAGCAAGGTCATAGTGCCGAGCAGTGCAACAGCAGGGTCGTCATCATTTCTCACTGAATTCCATTTTTTTTGACCTGCCTTAAGCATAGCTTGGTAGCTGTGCACAGTGAGCAAGTTGCATATTCAAGGCAATGTGTCCTGCAGAGCATGTTAGCCTTAAGATAGCTGGTAGTGTTATATATACACACACATGCTGTAAGGTTTTGTGCTGAAATTACGTAGCCTTCTTTGGGATGTTAGAGAGGAGGAAGGTAAGAGGGCTACAGAGGTTAGTGTGGTAGAGGATACCTGTGCCCCGTGCTCTGGGTGTCCCTGCTGGAGCAGGGGGTTGGACTGGATCATCTCTAGAGGTCCCTTCCAACCCCAACCAGTCTGTGATTCTGTGATATCTCAATTCTGCATTTTGGTGTCCCCAGGAGGCAAATCTTTGATATTTCTGTTTTCTGTGAGGCAGAAAGTCCCACAATTTGTCAAAAGTATCTTTAGAGCAGATGCTTATAAATGCATGCAGTAGTACCAGGTAAGGCAAACTGTTTTTGTCTTCAGTCCAGAGCTGCAATGGCTCGTCTGAAACAGTTGAGTCCTGATTCTCCTATAGCAAAAAGCTGTTAACTCTGTTAAATTTTACAGCGTTTTAGTAAATATAACGATTAAAAAAGGGCCGTTTTATGGTGTCAGAATTTAACTGTGTTTCTTTTCAATTGAAATGTCATCTAGTTTTGAACTTTCTAATGTCAGAAGTGATTCTAAGGGGAGAAGTAAACTCATGAGTGTCCTTATTTATGCTTTGTATTTTTATTTAGGGCATGTGCCACTTAAATTTTTTTTTTTTTTTTTCTTAATGACTACATATTCTGTTTGATCCAAGCTGGAATTTCTTTTGGAGGGAATCACACCTTGCATCCCACTGAAGCCTTCTCATCTTCAGGCTGATAATAATTGCTGGGATGACAGTGTGGTGTTTTATTCAATGAGTGAGAGAGAATTATAGCTGACCAGTTTTTCAAGAAGTTACAAGCATTTCCCGGATACCTCATCCGTTCTCCTTTCTTTATGCTCTGTCTGGAAAGAACCGTGAAATACTTGAAAGAATTCAGATGTGAAGGTGTTCTTGGAGCATATATTCAGCAATTCGATGTATTTGCTGGCCCATGGGACTTCACTTTCTGAGACATTCTTTATTTTGTACAAAATATCTTCCGAAATCTCTCAAGGTAGCTTAAGCTGCAGTGAGTGTGATGTGTAATTTGAATGTAGAATGTTTTTCACCAGTTAGTACTGACTTTCAGGCTATATAATAGCTAGAAGATGCCTGTTTATTCCTTTTCCACCATCCGTAATTCCACTGTATGGAGAAGGCTAACTACTTAAAAGCTGCACGGTTTGTGTTTAATCAGTTAAAACATTTGATATTTCTTAATAACTCCAAAATGTTGTGCAAGGACCATGAATCTGTAAAGCAGAAGTTACAGTATTAATCCATTGCTGAAACGTGAAGTGTTTGGAGGGGAGCGCTGAACAGCCACAGGCCTGGGCAGAGTGGCTTTTGCTCGCTAGGGTAGCAAGCACCACAGGTCAGCAGGGCGTTTTCATGAACCTTGCATAAATGCAAAATGGCTAAAAGAGGTTGCTCTTGTACTAGCATTGTCAAAGCAAGCAAATGTGAATTTGGAATGTGCTTTTCTTGCATTACTTTTTTGGTAAAAATCAATGGGACAGCCGAATCCCTGCGCTCCGCCCGATTTCTTGCTGAAGTCGTGTCTGTGCGGCAGTGCTCTTGTGCTTGGATGTGAATCCCCTATATGCCTTGGGCTCCGAGGCCGTTTGAGCAGGTGTCACCGTGCATGGGAGTTAGTGGGGAAGCAGGTGGCTGCGGAGTGGGACGGGACTCTCTGGGTGCCCCAACCAAAGGCCAGGCTGACGTGCAAGTCCAAGCCTCATGTGATGCCCGCATGGAAAAGAACCATCATGACTGGATCAACCAGGGGAAAAGACATGGTCAGAGCTTGCGCTTCTTTAGACATCTGTAGTAGCAGACAATCACGGGACAACAAAATTCATTAATTCGTTTGTCCACAGATTTTTAAATTATAGTCTGCATATTTTTGTGAAATGTATTGGTGATCTCACGCCTTTTTCTCTTATGAAACGTGCTATATAACAGAACGGATATGTTCACTCTGAATGTGGGCAAAGGATTAGAACTGCACATGGCATTTCTCATGTTGCATCTGGAAGGACCACTTGAGAAATAATGTGAATGGAATACGGCTTAGTAAGTGTTTCATAGGCTGTTGCTTCCAGTCAGTATCCTGGGGACTTAACTTGCCTAAAAGGAAACAGAGGTATAAAATAATTTGGCTTCTTTTATATAAATATGTAAATATATATGTAATAAAATATTAAATATATAGAATATTTAAATATTTTCCTCTTTATGGCCTTTTTTTCTGGAGCACATTGAGAGCAAAGGTATTTTCTGTGTGCTGTCCTCTAATCCTGGGATCCTGATGTTGTAATAACCATCTTGGTTCAGGAAATGCGTGGGGGGTGGCAGAGCTGCCTCTGAAATCTTTGGGAAGATGCTGCAGTGAATTTAGACATTCTGGCCAGTTCAGCACTTGTTCAAATTGTCGTTGTAGTCGCAGTGAATTATTTTAGTTTTTCATAGGGAGTTGTCTTCTGGATTTAAGCCGGCCCTTTGGGGTAAATCTGTGCAGAGGTAGCGAGGTGCTCGGGTACTTTCGAGGCTGGTACCAGGTGCCTTTGTGTGTAACAGGCAGCAGCTGGGGAGGACGACACCTCTACCAAGTGCTGACATTTGTGCTGTAACCCTCTGCCCCTCTGTGAGACCCGTGTTAGTTAATGGACAGAAATGAGCACTGAGGTGCCATTCATGTCCAAAGTCTAATGAGTTGCTGTTTCTTGGTCTTCTGCCATACATATATTATACTGTGTATTATGAACTGTTAAATCAAGTGGATCCCATCCTGCGTAGCATTCAATGTCTGGAGCTTGTTTTTGTGTGCTGCCCTTTCGGTATCGACTCACTCTGGGGTTCTGCACCGTCCACTCTTTCCCCCCTATTCCTCTATGACCCTAATGAATAATGCAGAACAGTATTAGCACTGCAGAAATACTCGGTGCAAAACACCCCGTTCAGCCCCTGTCTGGACAACTGGAAGAAATCACGTGGTGGCAGGAGCTCTCTCCAGGCTGGGAGCAAATCCCTGCTTCCCAGAGCTGCTCTCGGCCACCAGATCTCCTGCATCCCTGTTTTTTTTTCTCCCAGCCTGCACAATTGGGAGTTTTTCTCCCCACTTCCTCCGCAGCCCTGGATGTGAGTGCGAGACGCGGCGACCTGCAGCAGAATTCCCGAGGTCGGTGTGATGGAGCTAAGGGGGAATGTGGCTTTTGAGGCTTGCCCAAGGATCCCACCAAGGATCTCTTGCTGTCAAGGTCTTGCCATCTAGGCTGATTTTTAGCTTTTTTTTTTTTTTTTTTTTTTTTTTTGCATTAAGTATGAACTACACTCTGTTCCATAAACATCACCATATGTACATCAACAGTTGCTATGCAACAATGCTATTTGTGCTTCCAGGCACTTCATCTTATCTTTGTCATCAGTTATCACAGTTGTAATTTTGGGGGCAGGAGGAAAAGAGAGCATTTTTGCATATATTTCCTGAGCAAAACGATTTTTTCTTAGGCATGTACAGCTAAGAATTCTTCCAGGGAAATACTGAGTTTGATAGGAGTGTTTGATTATATGTGTTTCTTTTCCTGAGCTTTCTACTGGCAGGCACCCTGGCAGAAGAAAGTGGCATTTTTTGACAGTTTCTGTCCTTGTTGAAGAAATGGGAATGTGCTTTTGTTAAATATTTAACAGTAAACTTTTCTGGCTGTGGTTATGAATTAGTTGGCTTGCTGCTGTAATTGCCTCTTGTATCATTTTTCTGCCAGCAGGTAGTTTAATATTGTTGTCTCTAAATAAAAACAACAAAAAGAGCTATGTTAAAGGCTTTGAGAAAAGTTCCTTACAGACCTAGTTTTGGGAATATTGCTTGGTAAATGTCTTGGGAAGATACAGACCTTGGCAGGCAATTGCACCCCAAACTTTAAGGGATAGATGGATAGAAAGATGTTACACTGTAAGCAGGAGTCGAGTGTAAATTATTTCTGTAACATTGGCTGAGATGACCGATTTTATTGGAATTCTTGAGTTTATCTTCACCCCCCCCCTCCCTTATGAATGAAATTGCCTTAATGCCTATTTTAGTGACTTTAAGCTTCTTCATCCTTCTTCCCACTGTTCATCCCAGTAAGAGGTTACCGGGGGATGAGTACAAAGTATTTTGGGAATTCTATTATGTGACAGAATGGAATTCCCAGAGCTGACTCTCCAAGAGGCATCTATGCGTGGATTGTTTCCTTGTTTCAGAAGTCACAGAAGATTTCTGGCTCTTAATGTTACACTAATATCCATTTTTCTGACTTTTTTTTTTTTTTTTTTTTTTCGGGATCTCAATGAAAGAAATACAATGTTTCTTGTAATTCCATTCAATAATGTAGATACCCTTGCAGGTTGTCCTTGGAGTAGCTTCTTTATTCTCATTCCCCTCAAATATTCTCCTCGTTTTTCTTTTTAATAAAGATTCCAGGATGAGAGGGGAACTGTTTTTTGAGTTTTTGCATGAATCATATTTCTTCTATAACTTATAATGCATTATTATATTCCAGTCAAAATGAATATTGAGAATTGTAGTTTATCACCATTGACTCGTGTCCTTGAAGTATCAAATACATCCAGCCATTTCAAAAAATGTGCAGGGGAGATTTTACTAATTATTGCTGTAATTAAATTTAATTGTTTCCTGTAAAAAAAACTTCGCCTTCGGAATCTTAATGCCTAACGAGGTTACTTCCAATCTCATCAAGTGATGTTTGATTTCTCGATATACTCCTCAAGTTATTTCTTAGGGAATAAGCGCCCTCATCATCCTGCTGTCTTAGTTTTACCTGCTGAGGGAGTTTGATATCCAACTGTCCACTTTTCCACTACTTTCCAGTCTGCTCTAGTTGTGAGGCTGCTACCTAACCCTACGCTGTAGCCTTCAAAAGGCTTTGAGCTCTTTTTTGCTGTAGATACCTCAGCCTCCTGCAATCTGGCCATGGAGATTGTGCCTTTCCCACTAGCAGCAGGAGAGGAAAACCTGTGGAAGCCCCTGATGAGGAGGAATGGAGGCAGCCACAGCCCTTCACCTCTCTGGTTTCCACCGATTTCTGAAGGTCACAAAGGAGATGCAACCCACAGCTGGAAGAGCAGATGACATTGCTCAAACAGGCAGCATTTTAGTTGGTCCAGCTGCACTACCTGTTACTATGACATGCAGTCCATTTAAAAAAAAAAAAAAAAAAAAAGCTCTTTATATCATCTTTCTTCATCTCTTAAAATGGGCAGGTTAATTATTTACCTGCTTCAAATGAGTTTTGTGTGACAAATTACTGCAAAGTGGGTTCAGCTGCCTGTCAGGGGTAAGCTCCTTTTTTCTTCCACTTTTGTTGTTACAACTCTATTAATTCTTGTATGAATTTAAATTGTTTAGAAGAGTATAATAGGCAAAATTTATGGCATATTGGAATGGAGTCCCTGTGATCAGAAGGGATTTGGCTTTGTGGCTACTTCAGTGACTTTAAATTTCTTTGCTTTTTACAGTCTCCCTGATGTATGAGTAAAAATGTCAAGTCTTGTTGATGTATATCTGGGAATCTTTTGTGCTGTGGAGGAGGCTGAGCAGCTCTAATCCGCGTGGATGAATAAATATATGAAGTAAACAGAGCACTGTAGTACTTCATTTACTCTGCTCTTGGCAGTTGTACTGAGAACATTTTAAAGATGGAGGGATGTAATGTAAAAATAATAATGAAAAGTGCCTAATTTTGAGGAAAAAATGCACTTCTTTGCAAGCCTTGAATTTTATTTTTTTATACAATGATGGCAGGTTCTGTTGCTACATACAGGCGAATACACTCATCTCTTCTGCAGATACCCTATATTGTTTTTTGAATCAAATGAATACCTTCAAAATCCATCTGCTTCGTTATACCTTGGTCCAGTTAGGAACTGCTGCCTTAGTATTTTTGCATACTAAATTTATGCCTCTTCATTGTCCTGTTTACTTTTTGAGCGTCTCATGAGTTTTTCTGCACACTCCATCTGAGTTAGGATATTGCTTGAGTTATAATTTACCCTGTAAGTGGGCCAAATACTCAAGACTGTGAATGAAAAAATACATCTTTTTCCTGCAACAGACCATCTTGCAAATGGGCTTGAATGTTACCAGGGATCTTCACTCACTTTGTGACTGCTTAAGGGCAGGAAGAGCTTCTGTTATAGCTGTTTTCTCAGTGAGTAAACACACGTCTTCAGCTGCTGAGCCTGACAACAGTGAGTGCCCAAGGAAGAGGGATCTGTGAGAGACTTGTTCCATTTTCATTCAGCCTCAGCTTGTCAGTCTCTTCCCTGAGAAAAGTGTTTCCAGGCATAGAGGAACCAGCAGATGAGGAAAAGGTTTTGTAAAATACGTCACATTTTCAATTCTGGTGGTACCCAGCCTGTAAAGAGCAGAAATGATCAGACTAACTGAACTCACAAGTTACTCACCGAGTTCCATCAATAATTCACTCTGAGCTGGAAGTAAATAGCCCGTAACGATAGCCATGATGTGCCTGAATTGAACGCTAAGGACGCTTTGAAAATGACAGAATGTTTTACAGATAAGTGCAAATACTCTTTTTATTCTCGACCTTAGGAGATAGGCAAAAAATAAGGAGCAGTCAGTTTTTAGATTGATGAACTTAGGTGCTTTCCTGAGGCTCAGTTCATGGAAATGCATCCCCGGGCTCTCATCTCTTAGAGGCTGGGCTGTGCTCTCAGAGAGAGACACATCTCACATCTCTCCTTTCGGGTTCTGCCTTTGCCACTGAGCTGAGTGGGGTGTCTTGGCAAGTCACCCGGCCACTTGTGCCTTTTCCTTTCCTTCCTCCTTAAATGTTCGGACTCTCTGTTCTGCTGAATAGGCTGCACTTCTGATGCTGTGTTTCAATTTGTGCTTAGCAAGTTGGGCGTGCTAATTATAAGCCTTCTTTGGCAGAATCCTGATTTTTTAAAAATTATATAGAAAATAATACACATTTGACCAGAGGGACTAGTGAGATGAGTGGGTGCTGCTCATTGCTTAAGCATAACCCTCATTCTGGGTCTGTCTATATAATATACAGACTATATAAAATATATAAGTCCGTGATGCAGAGCTCAATCAGAGCTTTAATGGAGTCCTCCTGTTTAAGATGCGTTGTGAGTTTGAGCGCTAAAGGAGATTTCTGTTGCATCCCGTGGCAGGTTATTTTTCAAAAAATACATTTGTAGACAGTCAATGAACCTGGTGATTGCGATCTTTATAATTTCTTTTTCTTTGTTTTGCAACCCACTTCATAGATTTAATTTCAAATAAACAACACAGAAACATTATGTTTCCTTTTCTGTTCATTTGTTTTTTTTTCCAGAAAGCCAACCAGAAGAAAAATCTGAAAGCAGCGGCGCTGGTGAGTGTGGGCCACTTTATTTGAAACCCTTAAGAAACAATTTATGACTGCAGTTTTTCAGCTCTTGGGTTTTTTTTTTTTATATATCTACCAATTTCCTGTTGTTTTTTGTTTTATTTCTAGGATAGAGTATCATAAAATTGAGAAATGACTTAATAAACTGATTGCTGCAGCCAAAGGCTTACATTATTCATGTTTTATTTAAATGAAAATAACATATAATGATGAAGAATGACCTTAAAAGAGAATCTGAAAAGCTACATTTTTAAACTTTTAGTTTTGCATTTCTGATCTCTTTAGGTTCTTTATCTGCTTGCACCTCGTAGTTTTACTTCTTCCCTCTTAACTGGAAAGTTTGTGGCAGATTTATAAAGCTTTAGAGATTTCATTTTGCTTTTATAGACTAAGCAGTCAGAAAAATAGTGTTCTGGTATTTTTATTCAGTTTCTTGATGTTTGTGAGAGATTAAAATATTTTTGTGGCATCAAAGAAGAGGAAGGGTTTTTGGTTTTGTGACACCACTTGCCAGTTATGTCAGTCCAGCAGTGTCTTGATACTTCAAGTACTGATACACATTCCAGCTCTAGTGCTGGAGCTGTAATTGCTATAGTAGAAATATTTTACACCATTGGAAGAAGCAAATGAATGTTGAATATATGTTGCCTTCAGACAGCAGATACTTTCTATCTTGAAATCAACAGCATGCTTATATCAGGTAGGCTTGAAATCTAAATAATTTCCAGGCACTGTACCTAGGTCTGCCTTTATGGCCTGGGGAAGGAGAGTTCTAGAGAGGACCTGGCTTATTCTGAGACAGGTCTGTGCGAAGCAATTCCCTAAAGAGTCTGAGCAGAGCTCTCCTGAGGATGCGTGGTGCAAGCCTGCTCTATTCCCTTCTGCTTTATTCCTCGGGCTTTATGTGATATTCCCCCATGTAGCTGCTTAACAGCATGAGAATTTTCCAGTGTCGGGCAGTGTGTAATGAAAGATCTGCTTTTGCTTTGATTAAAGAAAGAGATGTTTCACAAATACCATTTATGTACTAGAGTGAATGAGTGATAGTATTACCGAAAGCTGGAGAACTTGGGAAAACTTGACACAGCTGATGCAAAGTACATAGACAAATCTCAGTCTTGTTGGTAGGAGGATTTAGCCTTGGCACAGGCTGCCCAGGGAGGCTGTGGAGTCTCCTTCTCTGGAGATCTCCCAAACCCGCCTGGATGCCGCCCTGTGCCCCGTGCTCTGGGTGTCCCTGCTGGAGCAGGGGGGTTGGACTGGATCCGTAGAGGTCCCTTCCCACCTCAACCAGTCTGTTTTTTTCTTACGGTGTGTGCGGATTAGGGATAGCTGGGACTGGGCTGGCAGTCATAGATGGCAGTGGCAGAGACAGGAGATGGACTGGAAGGTGTCCCATATCCCCACCTTTTACAGAAGTGTCCCTGAACACAATCCCGACACAGGGAGGGGTTGAAAATCATTTATGGAATGTATTTTTTTCAGACACTGTATGGAGATGTCTGGTTTTTATTACCCAAATATTTGAGTTTTATTTGAGTTGCATGTCAGCTTCAAGATTGTCAATAACATATACTTATTTTGTGTATGAATAGCAGAAGTTTTTTGATTTTTTTTTTGAGAAAGAAATACATTCTCTTTAATATTGAGATGCCTTTGGTTATAGTGGCTTGTAGTGGCAAAGATTTATGACTAGTGGTAGAGATGTCATAGCTTGTAGACTTGTACTGAATCCAAGGCATGTTTTATAGTGTGACATGTTTTTCAGCTACTTGTTAAAATCTACTCACTCTGATTATGTTTTAATTCTGATGTGGCTTTAAAGTAATAAAGGACTAGTTTCTAGAGATTAGTATTTTATGTCACTAAAAAACAGAGATTTATTGCTGTGAGATGTTACCTTTGAAGCAGATCTTGACAATTTAACTGCTAGAAGAAGTCACAATTGTAATGTTTACATCACATTAATCGTTAATTGAAGGAGTTTTCCCTTATTTTTGGTTTAGCTTTTATTTATTTGAAGTTGAGTTGTCTGCTTTTCACTCTTTCGCTTTCTTTCTTGTCCTGGTTAAATCATGCAAAATACCCCACGTTTACTTGTCAATCAGAATAGCTGAATGTAGAACAGTCACAGAAATAAAGTGTTTTCTTGGCTCTTGTCTGTAATTTTGCTTTAGTCAGAGAATGAGCATTTAAGGGAAGATTAAATGTCATTTAAAGGGAAAATCTTAATGATCAGTTGCATTTCTTTTCCTCTCAAAACCATCATGGAGCTCAGATGACCTTTTCCAAACTACGTTTTGTGTAATTCAGCTTGAGTGTCCCATTTCACTATTTATGTACTTTATGTTGGCCTACAGCAAGTACTTTTGAGACAAAAACAAACCCTTTATATATTGTGTGTAGTATTTTAGGATAATAAGACCCTAATGACTGCTTTTAGATATTACTGTAATAAAAACCGGGAAGAGAAGGGAAAGAGAAGAAAGGGAATGAGATAGTTGTAGCATTAAAAGACTACAGCTAACCTTCAGAAATATTTGTATTTTCTTTCTTAAGAAGTTCCTCAGTCTTTCTTTTTTTTTCTAAGGTATAAATCATTAATGGTTTGATATTTGATATTTTTAATCATATTGATTGCCAGGACAGGTGTGAACCAAAGGCAAGATGATGGCAACATTTTCACCCAGTTTGATGCTGCATGGAGAGAGGGACACATGACACTGGGTCGCACCAAAGATCCATCTGGCTCCAGAGGTGGCCAATAGCAGATGCTTAGAGTAGAGTAAAAAACAAAGCAAATAGTCATGTCTTCCCAAATACTTGCTGCAGCCTTTAATGATTTACAGCTCGGAGAGCTCCAAAGCTGGAGGTGATGTAATTTTATTTAAATGGCCCTCATGGATTTTTCTTGCATGAGATATTCTTCTTGGTTTCTGAAGCCATGTAAAATTCTAGTAGCATCATCCAAGACTTGCTGGATTAGCATCAAAATGGCCAGGAATCAAGAAATATCTGAAACAAATTTAGCTAAACTAAGTATATTTTTCATTTGCATATGCTGTTTGATAATTGCATACAGAAGCCCTGTTTGATTAGTGCTTGTGATTAACAGTGCTCGGGGCTTCAGCCAACGTGTAGTGCTTGAGGGCTGTTTGGTGATCAGTGTAAAAGGAGAGTGGTGAGTTGGACAGTCCGCTAAAGGAAAAATGAAATGAGGAGAATGATGTTCTTATATGATGCTGAGCAAGTAATTTAAGCCAAGTATGTGTGTGTGACTCCCGTGTGCACATGTCTTTTGCGTGAGCAGGGACAATTTGGGTGCGTTTGCCTGTAAGTGCTACCAGTGGTCACAGAAGCTGTGAAAACCGGGTAGTTTCATCCATCAAAGGTGTGCCAAAGAGGTCTGAAGTGTAGCTTCTGGTTCTGCTGTTCGATTGTGGGTGGCACTGGGCAGGCCTTCTGCTTGTCTCTATGAGCACTTCACTGAGCACTTCATCTCATTGAGATGCTTTATAGTAAGTAGGATCTCATGGGATGAGCAGATTTCTCTGCCCTCTGCACAGTAAAACTATGCAGAAGTTGCTGCCTGGAGCCTCTGTAGTCTGTTAAGAGGGGTACTGCTAAAGAAACGTTTTCTGCTGCAAGTAGGGATGCTGCTGTACTTGTGGAAAGGCAGTAAATCGAAGCTGCATGGGCAGCAATTGATTAGAACGTTGCCTCGGCCTTGCAAAAGTAATTTTGAGAGTGTAATATTTCTTTTAGATGTGTGTGTCTGTGTCAACTCTGTGTGCAAACTACAGATTCATCTTTTCCTTCAGGAGTGTGTACATCAGGGGAAGTGTGGGCCTGCTGTAAACAGTGTGCACTGCTGTTGAATCCCAATTTCAGGTGTTTGTCTGGCGTAAATTCAGAGCAAATAGTGGCCATCCGAGCTTAATGTGCTTTGAGGGAAGATCTTAGTCATCCCTTTTCCTAAACCTCTTGGCAAGTAATATTATGTATTCTAGTGAGCAGAAAGCCACATTGAGACCATTTCCTATTTGACTTGGGGTAAAAGGAATAAATTATCTGAGGTGCCGTAGCTAGTATAACATGAATCTGGTATGGAAATTTTACCAGTTGCAAATGTTATGTGTTTGTGAACATAAATATGTAACATCTGAATTGTGTGCAGATCACACTTACCTCAGTTATGGATATTGCAGTCAGGATAATTGTTTAAAAGTTTTCAGGTGTTGATTATGCGTTTTGAAATATTTGAAATTCAGCGTAAGCACGTCCATAAACACTGAACTACATGGGGTAAATTTTGCAGTTTCTTTGAAAAGGCACAGAGTCCTCCCTGTGTGTGTCACAGAACTGCATATAACTGCTCTCAGGCTCACTTTTGTTTTCTTCCGTGTAAGGGACTGAAATATTAATTATACTTCAAAAGCAGAACTAATGATGACGGGGGGAAATGATCTAGAGGAATAAAGCAATATTCCCCAATTTAAATATTAGCTCAAACCTCAGTGTTGAAAATAATTTAGATATGGAATATGCTGTTTTCCAGCTGTAGAGACAGTTTTTGTGATGGAAATGTAACTGCTTCCTGAGAAAAGTACAATAAAAATTTACATAATGAACTTTTCAGTATTTTTCTGGGACTGATATTCAGCAATGAACCTTCATTTGTAGCTGTTAAAATATACACAGATGCAACCATTCGTGCTGTCAGAAATACACAGTCAAAGTCTATAGTACTGGGTCTAGTAACCCTGTGGAAAACCAAGGCAGAGGAAGCTGTGCTGACTGGGCAGCTGAAACCACATGGAGTAGGTATAAGTTTTATGTAATAAATACAAATTAAAAGTAATATAATATAAAGTAAAAGTGATATAAACTGATGAGAGATGGATTTTTTAAACTTACATAAGTATTGTGTATTAATGGACTGCTCTTTATTGTAGTATATTGTGTGAGTTTTCTAATATTTATAT